GCCGGATCGGAGCGTTTTCTGGCCAACTCCGGCGAAATTGACGGCGGGCACCAAGTCCAATGTGGTCGTGGCATCTGGGCGACCTCCAAGGACCCTTCAATTGCAAGATTTGATGACGATTTGCAAAACCCCCCATTTTGGACTCAATTTCGAATTTTAGGGTTTTTTCGAGTAGAAAAATTCAGATTCGAGAAGTTACAGGCAAAATTAGACAAAATGGTTTGGATATTATTGATCCTCGTCTCAAGACGAAGAGAATGACATTGGTCTCGCTGGATTCGGAAAAAGTTCATTTTCCGGCGGCTTTGACCGGCGGGCGGCGGCGGGGCCTGGAAGAAAAGAAAAGAAGAAATGGGGTCAAATTAAAAATTTTAAAATATATAAAATTCAAATTTGGCCCTAATGACCGGAAGTTAACCTAGAAACGGGCTAATGGCTCATTAGTGAAAGGATTGTGTAAGTTCAGGGATTTTTGTGAAAGGATTTGAAGCTCAGGTACCACTTTGAAATTCCAGCTAAAGTTCAGGTACCATTGGTGAAATTTACCCTAATGAATATACAATAACATTGTATTATATCCAAATTTATAATATACATCCTCAAATACGAATAAGAATGAATTATTTTTTTCAAAATTAAAATTTTCTTACATATTTATCTCGATGACCATTTAATTAACTGAGTGATTTTTATAAAATTTCAAACTAATATTTAATATGTAAGTATTATTTTTGTTTTTATACCAATTTTAAAATAAAATAATTTTAAAACAATGAGATTTCACTTTGTAAATCCAAATTTATGATTTATTTTGAGACGAGTAAAATATGCTTCACATTAACAAGTTTTTTACCTCAAAATGTCAGCTATCTATATATGTACGGAGTACTAACTAAAATATCCTCTGTATGCTTCACATTAAAAAGTTTTTTACCTCAGTCCTGCCCCGTCCCGAACCTACTCCTCAACTCCTTCAATTTTATTTCCCAAATTTGTTTGACTTTTGGGTCAAATTCTGTTAATTTTATTGGAACCCTATATATAAGGGCAATTTTTGCTAATTAATGAAGAAGTGTCACATCCATACGGATTTAGGCTACAAATAGAGTTTGATAAAATTATTCTCTTCCTAATTGCACAATCAAAAAAAGTCAAGAAACCCCATTTTAAATCGGATTTGTTCCCAGATTTTGTTAACCTCTTTTTGAGTGTGTCCATTTTAGGTTTTCATATGATGTGATTTGAGTAGGTTAGTGTCATAAACCTTTGACAAAATTGCACTATTTCTTGTTGGTTACTTAATTTATCACTAAAGAAATGAATAATGCAATATTATTTTTTTCTTATTTTAAATATTAGTTTTCTGTTTTATCAAAAAAAAGTACATTTTCTGTAATTATCGGGATCAACTTGACAATCCTTCCATTTGTACATTGTTGTCGTCTTTTACAATATTTATATTATTTAACACCAAGCACTATTAAGTTGGTGCAAAAAAATTGGCATTACGTATTACTCCCTATTTATTATTGTTAGACAAGAATACTAATAGTACTTATTGTAGTATTGGTTATGGTAGTGTTTTATTGTTAGTCAGCTTCCTAATCCTATTTGTGGTAGATGTTGTATGTTAGTTAGTTTCCATTCTCTATTTCTAGTTGTGTTAGAAGTCTCTCCTATATATACTCTATCATGTACTTCATAATTCAATGAGCAATATTATTATTCCAATATTTCAACATGGTATCAGAGCCACCGATCTTGGTGACCTAAAAGAGTTCTTCACTTTCGTCGCCGCTGCCGGTAATTCCGGCGACGGCGACTCCACTCTATTCACCTCTATTTTTTTTCTCTTCTGTTGAACTAATAAAAATCCAAAGTAAATCAGCACAAAAGCAAAGCCAAGAGGTGAAGTAGTGAAAGAGGAAATAAGACCTCTACAACTCACCCTTCAAGAAGGAAAAGCATTGCCCGGATCTAAGAAAAAGACAAAAAAACGTCAAGGATCTTCAGTCAAGCACCTCCAGTAGCCTTTTCTATTCTTCTTCGACGTCAGCAGCTACAAGCGCGCGCCAACCTTCTCTCTTCTTCATCGACGTCAGCAGCTACTAGCGCACGTCAATTTCTCTCTTCTCCAACGACGTTAGCAGCTACCAGTGCACGTCATACTTCTCTCTTCTCCAACAACATTAGCAGCCACCGGTGCATGTCAGACTTCTTTCTTCTCCAACGATGTTAGCAGCCACCGGTGCACGTCAAACTTCTCTCTTCTCAAAGTTTCCAATTTCCAGCTAGTGTCCAAGCTTCCTCTTGCTTCAGCCAGAGTTCAGCTTGAGGGGGGATGTTAGACAAGAATACTAATAATACTTATAGTAGTATTGGTTATGGTAGTGTTTTATTGTTAGTCAGCTTCCTAATCATATTTGTGGTAGATGTTGTATGTTAGTTAGTTTACATTCTCTATTTCTAGTTGTGTTAGAAGTCTCTCCTATATACACTCTATCATGTACTTCATAATTCAATGAGCAATATTATTATTCCAATATTTCAACAATTATTTTTCACTTTAATGACAAGTTTTCACCAACAACCTTTTTAGAATCTAGTAAACAAAATTATTCAAAATATACAGTAATATAGTAGATTTATTTCCAATACAAAATTAGAGAATAATCGTTAAATTTAAAGTCATTTAATCAAAAACCTGATAAGAGACTCGTAAGTGGCTTCATGAGCAGAATCCATATATTATGATAGTGTGGTCTACACAGAGTGAGAAACCATACTTCTAGGACTTGACTGAGCATGGAATAAAATAGATTCTAGAGATGCTATAATTGAAATAGATTCATTATGATAAGGAACCCCTTGCGAGTGCAGAAGATGGCTAGAGAGGAAATAAAATATTACTCCCTCCGTCCACAAATAAACTTTTCGTTGTGCGTTACGATATTTGACTGAAATTATTTTTAAATCATTTTATATGAAAAATGGTGTATCAAAAAACTATATCAAAAGATCTACAAAATTAGATGTGACATGCCCATATTATTTTATCATATGGGTGACGAAAATAGGCGAACAAAGTGAATAAAGTTTGACCATGTGAATAGTGAAATAGAAGTTTATTTATGGGCGGGAGGAGTATATCAAACACATCTACATAGATCAGAATTATGTTGCAAATGCTATCGCTAAAATGGACCATTGAATTATTTTGCCCCTCTTAAACAAAGTGTCTAATCCCTGTAAAAAAAATTATTTAAATCATTCTTACAAAAAAATTGTTTTGAAAATGGTCCTCAATTAAATCTAATAAGCACTTTTAATTTTTCAAGATAACATATTTATTTTGTGCTCAACATCCTAGTTTTTCATTTTTATTATTTGAGATAAAATTCTCATACTTTTAATTATGTCATTCATCAAATTACATCCTAACCCCCAAATTTTATTATATTATATTGCCAAGAAATTTAGAAATTGGATGTATAGTATGAATAAGGATATATACAATTTAAGATATGGAATTGTATCAGAGATAATTAGAAATGCAAGACTACAATATGATGTTGATTACAAAATAAATGTGATATATCAATGAATATGACTTAAACAAAAAAATACTCCCTCCATCCCGAAGTATTCATCCAGTTTTGATTTTTGTAACTATTCATCCAAACACTTTGACTCATCAAATTCTCTCAATGTGTAAGCCTAAATATAGTCATGTGTGATCTTGTTTGATTTGTCTTAACATATAGATTATTAATCTATAATTTTTTAATATACAAATTACAAGATAAAATGGATTAAAGAAATGAAAGCAGACAAATACTTTGGAACGGAGGTAGTACCTATTTTATACGGAGTAAGAAATAAAACATACTCCGTATTTAAGTTCAGAGTAAATTCTATAATTAGTCCTTTATAACAGGGGGGTTTCCATATTTAGTCTTCTATTATCAAATATTACCCTCGTAGTCCTTTTTTAAGGGTACCTTTCCACAAATGGTCCTTTTTTTGATCTTCTGTCGTGTTGGTGTTAATTTAAAGGCTAAAAATATAATTTGACGTCAACATTATGTCTAGTGACGTGTTCTGATATTGGTTAAGCGGATAACACAAAAATAATGACTATGATTGTGGGCTAAGGATTCTGACGAAAGATCACATTTGTAGACTATAGTTGTCGTAAAAAGCGACTGTAATTCACAAACGATGCAAACGAAACAGCCTTTGGAATTGTGTATGACAAAAAAGATATATTATCATTGTGAAATTACACTTTTAGCTCTCAAATTAACACCAACATGATAAAAGATCAAAAAAAGACTATTTGTGGAAAGGTACCCATAAAAGAAGGATCACTTGAGTAATATTTGATAATAGAGGACTAAATAGGGAAACCCCCTGTTATAAAGGACCAATTATAAAATTTACTCTTAACTTCAATTTTAAAGCAAAATATTGGTACTATAGCCGAAAGGTGACACACCGTCATGGGTCGGATTTGGGCCGATACGGGCTGCTAAAACAGCCCTTAAAACACATTATTATTTATTTCTACAAACACATTTTTTTAAAATATAATGGATATCTCTTAGCAAATGGCCATATCCCTTCTAGGACCTGACTGACCAATTTGAATTGCCCATGTCGTTTGGGCCTACTTTATTTTTCTAGAATTCAGGCCTGGCTTATTTATTAGCCCATGATTCATAACATATCATCATTCATTCATTACAGGAAATTACTCCTCAAGTTCGGGTTAATAGCACGGGAGCCCCCTGTGGTTTATAAAAAGAGCGTCAAAACCCCCTATATTTTCAAAAGTTATTTGTAAAATCCATGTGGTTTCTAAATAGAGCACACATGTCTCCTTACCTATTTTTAAAGCAAAAATGACATTTATGCCCTTTGTTTTCCCCGATCTTGAATTTTTCTAATTTCAATTTCATTTATTATACAAATATATAAAATAAAATATACGCTTCCCATATCAAATTAGAATTTTTCATAATGTACTTTTGAAAACAAAAGATTTTTTGGAGAATGTTACAAAAAAATGAAAAATAAAATATTATGTACAAAGTAAAAAGTAATAATAGTTAAAAAAAGGTAATGAAAAGAAATAAAAATATAAAAAATAGTCTTTTTCTTTAACTCCATATTTTATTTCATATTTCTGTTCTTCATTTTTTAAAGTCCTTAAAAAATTATTTTACTTTTAAAAAACAAATAAGTTAGAATTTTTAATTACAGATAGAGTGAGTATATGTTATCCAATTTTTTATTTTATTTATTTTACTTTTAATTATAATGAAAAAGTGTATTTTATTTCATTTTTGTAACATTTTCTAAAAAAATTATTTTTTTGAAAATTAAATAAATAAAAAATTTTAATTTGAGAAAGAGGGTGTATATTTTATTTTATTTATTTGTATAACAAAAAATGTAAAGAAAAGAGTGAAATTTGAAGATAGAGAAAAACCAAGGGCAGAAATGTCATTTCATGTGTAAAATAGGCAAGAGGGGGTGTTTGTGTACTATTTAAAAACTAAAGGGATTTTACAAATAACTTTTTAAAGTAGAGAGGGTTTTGGCGCTCCTTTTGTAAACCACGGGGGGACCCCATGCTATTATCCCCCAAGTTCAGATTATATATGCACACTCTTTTTCATCTTGGACTCCTTTGCTAATATCTTCCTCAAATTCTTTTGTGGTCTAAATCCATACTTATTATATGGATTTAAAGATATGGAATGTGTAAAGCCCTATTGAATCTTATAAAATAAAAGAGATCTAACAACGAATTCATAAAATGTAACTACATGTTTCACATGTGGATCTTAAGACTATAATATCACAATTTTATTTATCGAAAAATACCTACTTTATAGGTTTACAAAAATTATTTTGATGTTGGTTTTCAATTTTTCATTATCGCCTCAAAGCATGATAAAAAGTTATCCTCATATTACATGTATTATGTGGGTGTTGGAGGAGCGTAACGTAGTCGGTTGATAAAAGAAAGAAAAAGATGCTTATTCAAATTCGATTGTTGACAATTGTCCTACGAGACGACAACGATTCATATGAGCTCATTGCATATAAGAAACAACAAGACTTCACTTTTTTACTGTCACTATATATTAATACCTGAGTATAATTTTACTTATTTGAGATAGTGACAGAATTATTTTTTATGGGTGGGGTTCTCATGACATTGGAATCCTTTGACTCTAAATTCAAAATCAATTTGTGGGGTGCAATTGAAGGGGGCGGGAGGGTGTGTTCGGGTCGGGGCGGGGTGGGGGGTTTACTGGGTGGGTTAGGGGGGTAGGAACCGAGTACCGGAACACTCCTGGGTCATCTCATGACATTGTGTTCCAAAGTCATGAGAACCTTGGTGATTTTTTTATTGGTACTAAGATCTCATTTTTGTGTGGCCATTACACATGGTGTTATCTTTTGCAGAATGTCAAAACTGTATGTGCTCTCCGGTCAGTAATAATGGCAAACGGGATCCGGGTGTTCATTGTGATTTCCTCTCAGTGAACCTTCTCTGATTCCATGGCCAATTCGATGATCTCTGCAATCCAAACCCCAAAGGCTTTAACTTTTCTCGGATCGAAACCGGGATCGACCCGAATTCAATTTCCGAATGGAGTTCTGGTTTCTCGAACCAAGCTCAAGAACCAAACCCTAACCCCGAAATGCAGCATGGCGGCGTCATCATCCCGGCCGGCATTGCAGCCCAGATTCATCCAGCACAAGAAGGAGGCGTTCTGGTTCTACAGATTCCTCTCAATCGTGTATGACCATGTGATAAACCCTGGTCACTGGACGGAAGACATGAGAGACGACGCCCTCGAACCGGCCGATCTCTACGACCGGAATCTGACGGTGGTGGACGTCGGCGGCGGCACCGGATTCACCACTCTGGGCATAGTGAAGCACGTGGATGCCAAGAACGTTACCATTCTCGATCAGTCGCCTCATCAGCTCGCAAAGGCGAAGGAGAAGGCGCCATTGAAGGAGTGTAAGATCATCGAAGGTGATGCTGAGGATCTTCCTTTCAGTACTGATTATGCTGATAGATATGTCTCTGCAGGCAGGTAAAATTCCTTCATTGCCCTTCTCATTGTCCATTGAATTTGGTGCTTGTTTGGAAACTGTATCTTTCACTACTTTTACCACATTCCATTTTGTGAAGCATCCCATGTTGGAAAACTAGACAAAGAATGAATGATCTCTTAATAAGATCTTGAATTCAACAAGCTTATCGACTAGATTCAATCTTTTAGTATAGGTTTAACCAAGTGAATGGCCAGTCCCTATGCAATGAAAGATTAAAATTAGCCAATCAGGTGTCAACAATTCATAGTAAACCGTTTTATCTCTGAGTTCATAAAAAGTTTTTTAGCACATCCATATTAGTTTGCTATGATGCTAACCTTACAACAATAGTATTTTAGTATTTGGAATTAAGGCACGATATTTTTTGCCACGAAGCAAATAGTCGCAAATTCAAAGAAAATTTGATAATTTAAAGAAGAATCAGATACACATTTTTTTGTTGTTGATAATAGGTTGCAAGGGCGTGTACTCTGGGACGGAGGGAGTATTTTTTAGAAAAACAAGCAGAAGCCAAAATGTGTTTCCAAACTTACCTGCCATAGCATCTTATTGGTTTGTTGTTGATGTTGTTATAAAATGTGTCTGTAGCATTGAGTATTGGCCAGACCCACAGAGAGGCATAAGGGAAGCATACAGAGTGTTGAAAGCAGGAGGGAAGGCATGCCTGATAGGTCCAGTTTACCCTACATTTTGGCTGTCACGTTTCTTTGCTGACGTTTGGATGCTCTTTCCAAAAGAGGAAGAGTACATTGAGTGGTTTGAGAAGGCCGGGTTCCAGGATGTTCAGCTCAAGAGGATTGGCCCAAAGTGGTACCGTGGAGTTCGCAGACACGGCCTCATCATGGGCTGCTCTGTCACCGGTGTGAAACCGCGGCCCGGAGACTCCCCCTTGCAGGTAGATTTATCTTCTTTTGAATGAATGAATGGCTATGAAGTCAAAATATGCACTCTTGTCTTAATTTGGGAGGGGAGATCTTGAAGAGGGTGGAAGACTTCAATACAATAGAATGTTTCTAAAAATGAATGACATGCACGTAATATGTTGCATGACCATGTATATAAATTCTCACACACTCCCTCCGTTCAGAAAATGAAATTTACATTTTGACTCCACAGAGTTTAAGAAAAAAACATGAATCACAAAATGTATGTGGTTGAAATTTATTTTGAAGAAGGAAACTATAAGAGCCACATTTTCATTTCCTGAAATCGAAAGTGGAAAAGTGTGAACGGTATCCACAATAAGGAAAGTGTATACTTCATTTGGGATGGTCAAGTCCATTGTGAATATAAATCTTAGGAATCTTCTCCTCCAAAACCATCCATCCAAACTACCACGTAGGTTCGTAGGGTGTTTGGATGGATGGGTCAGAGGGAGGAAAGCTTTAAAGGATTTACAGTTTTACACTATGTTTGGTTTGAAGAATTCGGAGGAAAAGGAAAATGCTAAGGAAAGGAATTAGTTCACTTTTTCACATTTACTAACCAAACAAGAAAAAAATGTTTTTCATATCATTTTCTTTTCTTTTTTCTACCAAATTCTTTGAACCAAGCACAGTCTCACCTGGGGGAATTTTTGTGCAGCTTGGTCCAAAGGTTGAGGAGGTGACAAAACCAGTTAATCCATTAGTGTTTCTTCTACGCTTCACGCTGGGGGCGATGGCAGGAGCGTATTACGTTTTGGTCCCCATATATATGTGGCTCAAGGACCAGATCGTCCCAAAAGGCCAACCCATTTGATTTGAGGCTTTTTCTCTCTATGCCTGTAACTTTCATGGTTTCAGTTCATATGTAATGGTGTGTAAGGATTCAACAATAGGAGCATGTGTGATAGCTTCTTCCTTTCTCTGTTTCTAGGAAATGTACTGCATTTTTTCAACAATAAATAAAATGTACTCCTTAGTTTTTACTCCGTATAATATCACTCACTCTGTCTCATGAAAAGATTTCATATTTTTTATGAGTATTTGTCTCAAGCATATGAGTCATACGATGAAGTTGTGGGAAAAAGTGGTTGAACAGAGGTTGAGAAAGAGACTAGGGTGTCAGAAGATCAACTACATCAACTGCAGAGGCTATATGTTGAGGAGATCGATGGAGAGATACCAAAGTGAGAATGATTTACACATGACTTTTATTGATTTGGAGAAGGCAAATGATAGAATACCAAAAGAAGTATTGTGGAAAGTGTGAACGGAAAAAGGAGTAAAGTTTGCATATATTTGTGCGATTAAGGACATGTATAATGGTGCTACGAGCGTGGAAAGTGTAAGTGGAGTAACGGGAGAATTTTTGATAAGTGTAGGATTACACCAAAGGTCATTGTCAAACCTACATCTTTATACACTAGTATTGGACGTTCTTACCGAGCATATCCAAGAACCCGTACCATGGTGCATGCTAAAATAGACTTCGGAGCTGCATGTCTTGCGTATAAATCACACTAAAATAGAGTATATTGAGTCCAAGTTTGGCAACAAAAAAAATTATTTTTTCGAAATGCGAAGTCTAAACGCTGAAATAGTTGCCAAAAGCCGATGTAGTTGTCAAACACCACTGAAGAATTTGCCAAGCGTCGCTTAAAGGTAAAGAAAAAAAAGAAAAAAAACTACTCCGTACAATAATAACACTTGGCAAATTCTTCAGTGGTGTTTGACAAAACAAATTAGCATTTCCCAAAATCAATCAATAATAACACTTGGACAAAAATTCTTTAAGAGTCCAAAGAAGGACCCTGTGGCAAGTCCGTCGTTCATACGACTTGCCCTTACCTGGGAAAGTGGGAAACATTAGCCAAAACAAAAAGCCTATACAAACCTCATTACTATAACAGTCATAAATGCCCCTTCTGTTATGTATAAATATTTATATGCACAACAACCAGACAGGAAAACCAAACCTGACCTTTTTCTCCTTCCCATTGTCACAGCCGTGGTGAAGGGAAAAAGAAGAACAGATGCAGGGAAATCCCAGAATTACCCCTGGTTAGCGACCCCCTTCAACCTCTCTTCTGGCAGTGTCCATGAGTGGAGATGCCCGGCGGAATCCCCACTCAACAACTGTTTCAGATCGGCGGTGAGGTGGAGGGCCGTGACGGCGTGCTTATGGCACTTCAACACCTTGCGAAGTATTAATCTGTACTCGGGTTGGGATTTCCCGTCCCCGGCAATCTTTAACCCCGCCGCCGGATTCCCACTGCTCCGACTACACTCCTTGCTTGAGCAGTGCACCATTTTCCATACCTTAATTGCCCCGCTCTGGTGACCGGAGACATACCAGTTGGTTTCGTGCCAGTCGGAACTCGAGCAACCGGAAAGCGAGAGAATCAAGTCGGAGGGAAGTTGTGAGGTGTTGACCGCAGCGAGACAGTCCCCGTTGACGCTCCACACGGCCAGTAAAGTCCGGGCAGCGGTCACAATTTCTCCGGTCAAGTCGTTCACGTGAATTGCGGAAACCCGCGAGGGGAACTCGGGAAGCTGCTTGACGAAAGCCATGGAGCTAAGATCCCACAGTATGACGGTACAATCGTCCGATCCGCTCACTATCATCATGTAAGGCTGGCTAACGTGAAGGCACGTGATTCTGCTCGTGTGCGCACATAGTGCCTTCTCAAGATGGAGCCGTCTCGAGGCGCGGGGCCCGCCGCGGTCTTTGCACACCCTCCAAATGCAGACCAACCCATCGTCGCCGCCCGTGGCCAGAAGCCGGCCGTCAAGACTGGCCCCGACGCACTCTATCTGGTAGCCGCCGTGGAGGTTTTTGTGAGTTGAAAGAAGCCGGTCTTGGTCGTAGCTCATGAATCTCAAGCTACGGTCAGGGAATCCCCACGAGACGTACTTGGCATAGGTTCTGGGTTTCAAGAAGGTGTTTGCGCCGGCCACAAGGATTTTGTCACTGGCAGTGACAATCTGGGAAATGGAAGATGCAGTCTTACGGATCTCGTGTGGGACAAGGTGCAGAGAATGCTTAAGTGGGTGCAGGGGAAGCTTTCTGTCGGCTCGCCGTTTCACATGGGGTTTGAGGAACAATTGTTTTGGTGTCTGGCCAAAGTGATTGATTTGAGCCAGAATCGAAGCTTTCAATGCTGGATCGGTGACTGAGTCGATATTTACACTGCCTTCATAAGTGTAATGATAGAAAACATTTACAGCTTCTTCAGCAGCCTGCCAAAAAACAAGGCATGTATTATAAACCTGTCTAAGGTAGTATTTGGATGAAATAAATACAAAAGTACAGTGGGGGAGAAGAGAAATGAGGGAAAACACGGATTTCTATGCATTTCCTTGGTTTGGTAGAAGAAATACAAAGATATGGAATGGGTCCCGAGACAATCTAGTCCATCCCAAAGGAGGATAAATTAACACTATGTTTGGTTCAAGGAATTTGAGAGGGAAAGGAAAAGAAATTGAGAAAGAAATCATTTTTCTTGTTTGGCTATAGAGGAAAAGAAAAGAAAAGTGGAATGGAAAAGAAAATTAAAAGACAAAATATATTAAGAGGAGGGAAAACCAAGTTTCTCCCATTTTGGTGAGAAAAATGAGGGAAAACTATTTTCTTTTCTTTTCCTTTTAAATTCCTTGAACCAAACATAGTGTAAGGGAAATGCAAATTTCAGCCAAACGTCATAAACCGTTATGTCAAGAATCAAATGAGACGGATGGAGAGTTTATTTTTAATTTCTCACCTATTTCTCTTATTTTCTTTCCTCGCCTACCTACTTCCCTCTTTCTTTTCTTCTCCCTCCCTACCAAACATAGCCTATAAGATACGTTGTAACAAAGAACAGAAGACAGAGAGCAACCACTACCAATAAGAGTTGTTGTCATATAATGTTAAGTATCAGATGTGATGATCCTAATGGTCAAGTTTTTTCCTCTTTTTTTTAACACCTTATAATGAATATGGTGAGAGAAGTTAGATATCAAGTACAGTACTCGGATAGAGTTTACCTTCCCCCTCTGTTTACAACCAAAGATTAGGTCAATCCAGTGGTGCATATTTTCAGAAACATAATCAGACTCCAGAGCTTCCCTGTGCTTCTTGATGAACTCTCTGGCACTGCCTTTGGCCCATGGAGGTAAAACGACATCACCAACCTGAGAACACACCATAGGCATGAGGATAATAAGGGTTTAACTAAGTAGATAATGTTTACCAAGCAACGGACAAGTATGCTACCAGGATTTAGATAACTAAGACATACCCTTTCCCCCGACTGTTTCTCGCCTAACTCAAGGTTGAACCTGTTCTCCAGAAATTCCGGCAAATAGAAGAACTCTGGAATCAGTTCCTTAACATCAGACGTGTTGCCTTTCCCAGCAGCACTTAACCAAGTATCCTTTATACTGTTAAAAAGGCGGTCAGCATGATCAAACTGTCCACCCTGGAGTTTTTGATTCTCAGCACTAAAAGGTGGTAGTCGGATGAGGTAGAAAAGAACAATTCCGGCACTAGAATAATGAGAACCATAATGAAACTTGGGAACCTCAGGATCATCCCAGCTCTCATATCTGACAGAAAGCAAATAGACAATATATTAGAATCTCTTTCATGAATATGGACAAATATTCAAAACTGCTTGATGCTTGCTTGACCTACCTTCTCTTGAACTCCTCTTCCCCTTCTCCTGTCTGACAACCCATTGGTTGGGCAAGCCTCCTGAAAGTTTTGGGATTCGTCAAGTCAAGACTCTCACTCTCATAATCAGCAAGAACCCAGGGGAACACCGGATACTGGGTAAGGTCACTGTATCCACGACCTGCAAGAGTGTTGAGGTGCATGAGGTACTGGAAATTGCTTATTTCCCCATTCTGCCACCTCTTTGAGAATGATTTAGCCATAACCTTAAAGAGGCGACTGCCTTCGTTGCTTTCTTGCTTCATTGCACCTGAAATTGTTGTGTCCAACCTGTGTGACCAATGTACAGCAGTTATGGACCTTGAAATATTGGGAGCAGGTTTGAAAGTCAATAGAAAGCAGGAGTTATGGAGATTGAATGGTGTCCACCACAATCAGATTCGGTCCCTGTTTAGGACCGGAAGAATTATGTAGTAGAGAGCTACATGCATGCTTATAATAAAGCACTACGTACTCCAGTACAGAGCATATCCACCAGAGGACAAACACGACCCAACAGTTTTATATAATTCAAATTAAGTGGAAGTTTTGAAAATTTGGGATTAAATTTCCTTATATGTTAAGTGAGCAGCTACTCCATTAGGTGCACCCTAAGAGGGAAAGTGGCCACTTCAAGAAGAATATTGGGATACAATTCTAATTTTGGTAATCTGCTAGATGAGGTAGAAATTGATCCGTCTGATGACTTCTAAACCGCATTCTTAAATCACAGAAATGCATGTGATCAGCAACTAAATATTAAAAGCAGAGAGCAGAAAACTGGAACAAGGAGGTGGATTGCGTACATGCTAGATCTTGGGAGATTCATGGCTACCATATTTTTGAAAACTTCATCTCTTTCTCTTTTGTGGAAAACCAGAAGGTCATTGCAACCATCCATGCTAAAAATCTCAACTGCAACAGGGCGAAGTTGATAATCACGCTTCAAAATTTCAAGGACATTATCAAGCTTCCACATGCGCCAAGGGTGTGGCACATTGCCATTACTGCAAACTTTTTCTTTCCCCCAGGCACCACCATTGTATGCCCATGCCCTACCACCAACATAAGTCTTTGCTGTCACAGCCCACGAACTTGATTTAGAATGTGAATCCATAATACAAGAGAAATCTTTCTTTACACCCAAAGCTTGATCAATAACTGAAAGATCATCCTCACTTTCCTTTTCACATATACACCCAGATTCATCAATATAAAAGTTCTCAATGACATAGAGAGAGAGTTCCCCAATCAGAAAAAGACCATCATGTTTATCAAGACCCA